TAATGCACCTCAGTGAAGAACAACAAACGGAGCGTCAACAAGAAGTGCAGCAGCTCAGAAAGAGTTCTCCCATGGAGCATGCTAAGGACGGCATGCCACAATGCAGACACTGTCTACATGAATTTACCACGTGGCATGCCTTCTTCTACCATGTGACCTCACGCAGTTGCGCCATCCTAAGGGCCATCTACACTCAGCCAGACTCAGATGTACACCTCGTTCCACTATTGAGTGAGGCGGTCGTTGACTCACCGGAAGTTCTGTCGCTCGCTAAAGACTGCACTTGGCAATCCCTGGCACAACTTGACATAGTCCGCAACAAACAGCACCACTGCCTGGAGTGCAACCACTGGTGTGTCAAGCCGACCTATGTGCGCAGACACATGCAGACTAAGCATCCAGACAGAATCCCGCTTATCCAGGCGTGCATTGATGATATCAAGAAAAGCAACATCAGTCTGACAAGCCCGTGCCCGTACTGCGGACTACAGTTCACCAGGCGAGATGCCCATCTACGGTCATGCATAGGAATCTTTAATGGTGTATATCTTCACCGACGTCTTGCTCGAGGTAAAGCCCTGAATCTCACAGGCCAGACGGTGTCCTCCGGACGCAAGCTTTCGGATCATGTTCGGAACCTTCCAGTCGGAGTGTCCAGTTCAGACCGAGCTGCAGGCAGCCACACAGGACCTGGACATGCTGAAGTCCCTACTGCCGACAGCCCTGAACCTCCAGCAGTTTCAGTACCACCAGTCCATGGAGATCGAGGAGCAGGAAGCCGACCAGCGACCTCAGAAGTGGCAAAAGCCGGGACCCAAGGGAGCTCCTCAAGGAGGAAAGGGCAGACGCCACAATCCACAGGGCTCACGCTACAACAACTCCTGGAGAAACAACGATTGGGGAGGTCACCGACAACAGGATCAGGAGACGTGGGCACCTCGCTCTTCCCGGGCCACAGCACAGGATGCGGACCAGCACAAGCAGATGGCAGAACTAAAAGCCATAGTCTCCATGCTCAGCACGCTGGTGCTCAGGCAGGAAGTGCAAATGAATGTGAGCCGACAAGACACCGCCTACGTCATCTTCATCCAAACCCACAACTCCGACAGTTTGGCGATGAGCCTCTTCCGCATCGGAGAACAATGGCGTCAAACCAAGATCGAGAAGCCGGAGCAATTGAATGCACCGATGAGGGTTGTTATGTTCCAACATTTCATCTCGACTGTCAGGGACAGGTTTACGCAGATGACGACCTCACCATCGGCAAAATCCAAGGCGCGGGAGTTGGGCTACATGCTGGAGAAGGACGACAGGATCCCGGGACTCCGGTGGGACCACACGGAGAAGAAGCACGTCCTGGACGACAAGGCGACCACCTTGTCGACGGAGGAAGTGATGCAGGATCTCAACCAGCTCCTCGTTCTGAGCTCCAAGACCCTTGTCATCTCCCGCTTCCACGGCATGCGCAAGCTCAGCGAGGAGTACACGTCCCCGACACTTGGGATGTTCCTGGAAATCGGCATGAGGACCCAGGAGGCCCAGGAAGCGTGGTCCATCCTGCATCGCCTGAGCGGCTCGGCAACATGGATGGCTGCCAGTTGCTACCTTCGCCACGAAAGGCTGCAGATGAGTGCTTTGGCCAAACGATTGGCAACAGTCACCAAGTGACGCGCATGAAAATCGGCAATAGTGGTAACTACTGCTACTCAAATGTCATCTTTAAAGCGCTTACGTCCTTGGCCCAGGCTTCTGACAGTCTTTCTACGATTTTCATGTCGTCATACTGTGAGTTTGTGAGGGGGCTGATCAAGAGATCCTGCACCTCCACGGTGCACCTATGGCAGCATCCGCTCTGGCTTTCGCTCAACCGGGGCTGGACTAGGCCTAGTCATCAGCATGACGCTGCTGAGTATCTTCTGTTCCTGGCTGAGGGTTCGCTGCTTCAAAGGTCCAGCCTCGAAGTTGTGTGGCAGTCCAGACACCACCAGCTGCCAGCAGACGGGCGAAGAGTGGTGGATTCAGGGCAATCCGTCCCGCTGCTGCTGCCTTCTCCCAGCGAGGGAGACTGTGATCTGATTAAGGATATTACTGTTCAAAAGTTGATTCAACTTTGGCATCAGCAGCCTGAGACACATGCAATGTTGGCGCCCGCCACAGTTTTGGCGCTACAGGCATGCAGGTTCCAGTATGATGCTGATGGACATGTCACCAAACGTAGGTATGGGATTGATCCTTGTCGTGTCATTCATGTGCCTTGCTTCACTGGTGATGGCGCGGAGTGCAGACATGTCCAATATCAGCTTAATTCAGT